CGGTGGCTTCGGCTGAAAAACTCTCAGAACCCTATTCTAAATCTCCAACCATAAACTCCAAACCCTGAGCCCTAAAACCCTAAGCCCCAAACCCTAAACCCCTAAACCCTAAACAAGAAGAGCTCAGATTCCTGCAGGTCAGGGATCTCTTTGACATCCTCGGCGGGCCGCAGATGCTTTTCGCAAGAAGTTCTGCGGTTCCCATGGAGGGGTTTTCAGATCCGTGGCTTTGGTTTTCGGTGGTTAAGGTTTAGGGTTTAGGGTTTAGGCGCTGTGGCGGGCAGCTTGGAGGCACTTCAGAGACACCTCGAACAAAAGGGTTTAGGCGGTATATCTAGATTATGACTAAATAGCGGCCAGGACATGTATCAATAAGAAGTGGCCATCTCCGTTGGGAGCTTGCTTCCGAACGGTTTTAGGGTTCCTGGGGCTGCTCACGGAACATGCGACAGCAGAGCACCTAGAGGATTGTGTTTGGAATTTCGTAACCTTGATGCGCAGGGGCCAGAAAGAGCCTCGCCTGTAGTCCGCACCTGGACCTAAACCCTAACGAATTCTGGCAGCTTTCAGCGCCGATTGGAGCCAGCGACCCAGGAATCACAGCGTGGAACAGAACAGTTCGATTGCCCTTAGAGTCCGTATATGTTTATAGATTGTGTTGCATCCCAAAACCCTACTCTTCTAATTGTACAGTTGTTTATGTTAGATGGGCAAAAGCCGAGACTGTAGTCTTGCAAGGGGAAGCCTGCTAGTGCTGAGCTTTGCTGGTCAGGTACGTCGAGCAGACAGAAGATCTGAACTAAAGCCCCGCACAGACAAACCAACACGAGTCCATCATTCACTCCCCTTATAACCCTCTTTTCCCCGCGAAAAAGCTTTGATCCATCAGCTCCCAAGCATCTGCAAACAACCCCCTTGAGCCCCACCAACCCCTAAATTTGTCAAAACGCCTCCAAGACCTGATCCCACAAAAGCTCAAAGGCTACAAAGCCGAAACTCCGAGCCTTGGTCCGTCAGCACAAACCCCAAGCCTTGGTCCGTAATATTTAGGGTTTAGGGTTCCTTGTTAGAATTGCGCAAAAAAGAAGTATACCATAGTTCCCTTACTTCACGGTGCTCAAAAATCCTGCAGAATCTTGTCCAGCATCCGTTAATCCTTAGAACGCATGGGTCATACCCCACTATTCAATGGGGTTTGGGGTTACAGGTTATACAGTAGTTGCAGTAGCTCTAAACCTTAACCCCCCACATCTACATCCTACACTGTTTCCCCAAAGCCTGGAGAAACCAAATCTCAGGATGACCGTAGCCTTCGCCGACGCGCAGCGGCGCGGCGCGAAGGACTGCCGGACCTTATCAGAGAGCAGGATGGAGGGTTCTGGAATTTGAGCTGCGTTTGCTTTCGGGTTCAAGGTCTTGCTCATGGTGTTCTTCAGGGATGTGGCTCTTACAAGTTTAGGTAGTGTATACTTGGCAAGGCTTGAGGGTGGAAAAGGTATAATACAGGGGTGTTAACAATGAGAATAGAGTTTTGGGGCCCAATATACTAAATTGATAATAAGGAACCCCCAAAATAATATTGGTAATTATGTTGGCCCCTATATTAGTTTAGTGCACGGGTTTAGGCTAAGGCGTGTGTCTGCAGTGTGGGTTTCCGAGAATACGGGGCGCTGATGATTTTTTCAAGGTTCGAGGTATCGAGCCAGTGTATTTGGCAGGGTTTAGGTTTAGTAGCTGAATAAGAGAGCTTTACCAAACCTTTCGGAAGTTATGGAATACTCTGAGTGGTACGTTGGTAAACTTGCTCATATCCCTTATGGCCTTTTGAGGCCCAAAGTCTCAGTCTTAACCAACCGCCTCATAATCCCTGTGTATCTGTACTACACTAAATCCCATGAGCCGCTCCTATCAACCCTAAACCCTAAACCGCAAACCTAAGCCCCGTAACCCTTCAAGTCAGCCGAAGGACTTCCATAGCCGGCTTCGAGGAGGTGAGGATTGCGGGTGTCGGGGAAACTTTAGCGCTGGTGGATCATACTTGGAGGTTCATGGGTCGTTATAAGTATGGTTATAAGTCCCCTAATATGAGTTACACTTAGAGTTACCCTACTTATAGCCTCACTTATAACTACCCATGAACCTCCAAGTAAGAGATGCTTGAGATCAAGACAGGGCACTTTGCTAAGGGGGCCTTTGAGAATCTTGGCCCTGGAATGCCCTGGAAGACACAAACTTTCTGGCTTGGGGCGAGAAGGGGGGGGGGGG